CCTCTAAGTGTCTCCAACAGAACCAGAACCACAGAAATGTGACACCAGCCCTGGAGTTGGTGTGGGGCTGCACACATTTCCACGTTCAGTTGAGTTTTGATACATCCGGAGTTTTGCGTGGAAAATGACGTACGCAAGGTTTTTGTGCGTACGCACCGTTGATACATGAGGCCCCAGGTGACTACAGTGTAAAACTGATAATAATTAGGCAGAATTTAAACCACTGCTACACAGTGTCTCTACTCCCAGGTTAAACAACGGCACAAACTGCTAAACGTTCTACATAAACGTCACAGTATGAAGCCCGGCTCGGCCAGACCAAGGCAGAGGCTTTTCTCCAACAAGTGCCTCACCTGGGACTGTGACAAAAACATCTTCAGAGTGGAGCGGCTGGTCGTGGTGACCCTTGGCCACCACACGCACCCTATATGTGAGGCCGACCTTTAAGCCTTTCAGCTTAACGTTCTGAGAGCCATTCACAAGCTCTTTCTGCCACTCCCCTCCATCTTCACCTGCAGGAGGGACGTTGATGAAGAGAGGTATGTTTGAGGGGGGTGAAACACAGCTTCAAAATGGACCGTGGAGATCGTGACATTATGGGAGCTGATGAAAACGTCTACTGATGTGCCTAAAATCAGTCACTTTCATGGAGTTCTAAAGATCCATTAAGTGCATGAATAAATTAACGTGGTGGCCCTCAAAGCTCAATGCATTGCAACTTCAAAGGAGCCCATGCAAATCAAGAAATTTAAATGTCACTACGGGGACAAATACTGCTGCCTTAGCATAAAAATGAGACTGAATACCAAACCACAGCTTAGTACAATAAAGCTGCAGGTCGTAAGGAAGAAAAAATCTCAATCATCTAGCAGGGCAGAAACCATTTCTTTTATTTTAGTCATAGCAGCAGCACAGCATGTGGACTTTGATCCAGATCAAAACAATCTGCCAATTAAATGTCTACCATGTGCCTCACTTTATAACACAGACTAAAGATGCAGGATAACATACATAAAAAATACCTTCGTAAAATTATAAAACTTAGTGTTTTCTGGTAAAGTAAGAACCCCCAAAAAAAACTATAAAACAAATAAAAGCACAAATCCAAATAGCTTTCTTTTAATGTACTTTAAATGGTGCTGGTCACAGTGGTATACCCCCATCTCAAGCGTTTCTGTCTTTATGATGAGTTTCAAAAACTGAATAAGAAAATAAACAATCCATTTATTGATTCAGCTGCTAAATGGATTAACAAAAAAAGGAAGATTATACTTATTTTTTTGCTAACATGGCTATGCCCAAACTAAATTTTCCTTTGTCTCTTTAAAACTAAAAATAAATTAAAAAACACAAAAAAATACCTAAATAAAATCACAAAAATGTACAGTACTGGGCAGAAGTCTTGACTTGTACCTCATGTCTTTAAATTAGGAGGCAGACTTTGTTGGAATTGATTAACACTTCTCTAGACTTTTCTGAAGGCTTTTTTAGATTTGGTTTGTTTTTGTTGTTGTTGTTTTTTTTTTTTTTTTTTTTTTTTTTTTTTTTTTTTTTTTTTTTTACTAATTTAATGCATATCATCTGATAACCAACTGATTTGTGGGGCAGTTTGTTCACCCCTACATCTTAAAATTATGACTTTCATATTCTATTCCTTTGCTGTAGATACTACCTATTTTTTGTCTCGAAGAGCACAATATACAGTCATGGTCAGGACCTTAAAGTGGACAGAACATGAGTAAAAATGCAGCCAAAATCTGAGTAAAAATATGAAGAACTACTGATCGAAACCACTTGAAAATATTACAGTAACTTCTAGCTTTTTGATATATTGTTTAAATGAAATATGGCTGATTTAAAATCTTTGCTCAGCACTGTAAGTATTCTTACTGTAAAAATAAATTTGTTTATCTGCATGTGCGCTCTCAGGGCCACCATACACAAAAAGTAAACATGAGCTAAATGGGAAATGTGTAATGACTGATGATTACTGAATTATGGGTGTGATAACATTTTTAAATGACTTTATTCTATTATTATGGCATTCATTAACTGAATGAATAAAACAGTAGGTGTGGGAGAGTCATCCTACAGTGCTTTTCACCTCCCTGCAGGTGGATGAAAACAATGGGAAGCACTTCAGTTGATGCCAAACATTTTAAACAGCTTTGTTGGATGTGTCTACTTAATATCCAAACAAACTGGTCAATAGTAGCATGGAATAATTATCAAACCAATCATATAAGGGGTAATTTATCCCATCTATTTTTTTGCTGGCAGGACTCAGAGTTGACATGAAAGCCAATATTTCTATTCACCTGCAGAAGACAATAAAGCAGGAGTTTCTCCCCACCTATACATGAAAATGAGAGCAGTACTGATGTGTTGCTTTGCTTACTGTTGTCTACTATGTATTCTACATAAACGTTTTTCTCTGGACCCCAGTACTCCCAACTGATCAGAGGCCCATCTTCTTCAAGCGAGGAGCTAACGTTAGCGAAAGGACTCGTGGGCCGTGCTGCGCACACAAGAGAAAAGACAAACATCAAGAAAAGTCTGACGGTCAACGGAAAATCCAGTGAGCCTGATTTACACGTCCATTACATGCTGTAAACGAAGCTACGCAAACCTACACAACAACAAAACTGGGAAGACTACACTATCAAAACAACATACACAATCACGCTAACTAATCAGACATGCAGTTTACTACAATCACAGCAGAATCTGTACCCTTATGAAGTGGACGATGAGGAGGAGACCATGCATAAGGGTGGGGTGTTTGGGTGTTTCCTGTAAACAACATCAAAGGATAAAAATGGCACCCAAAGCCTGTATATGGATGCATACACGCACATGCACAAGACATTCACAAGGACATTTTCCACAGGGACACACAAGGGAAAACATTTCATTAGCATGCCAAGCAAGCCCTCGCCATGCAGCGGGAAAGAACAACCAGCAGCCACCATGGAAGAGGTATAAAAGGGTCACATTTGTCAACAACACATGGGAATAGAAGCAGCAGACCACTTTGAACAGTCTCCTCTTATATTGTTTTTCAATGGAAGTCAGAAGGCACGTGTCACACTACGTCTTTATCTTAGGGGCTTTGAACTCAGACACACATTTTGCTGGGTCACATAATGGAGGCAGGGTGAAGTTCCTCAAAGACAAGGGCCTGCTTGTGGGTCGGCTTTCCGCATAAACCGCAAAACAAGAACCTGTCTAGGTTCTCCATGTTTGTCAAAATCTTCTACTTGAGGTTAAAGAGATCAACGGGACATGAAGAAACAAAGGGACGGGTTACAGGGGGCTGTAACACCACCCCGGTTGGTGCCACTTTTAGATCAGAGAGACATTTAAGTGGTCATGCTGTGTCACAGTCAGGGAGAGGATTTATAATAGCACGAGTCAGGTTATGTAACAAGGCAACTGGGGTAAAATAATGCTCATTATGAAGCATACAATACTAGAAGAAAAGGAAAAAGCTTTGAAATTGTGCACAAATACAACAAATTGACGTGATAATAAAAGCAAGAGTTTCAATTAAATTCATGTGTTTTGCTGATGTATACAATGTATAAATGTAAGCAAAAAACTATGCATAGAAGTGTCATTTGTCAAACGCGATGTCTAAAAAACCACTTGTTTGTTTGTCTGTAGCGTAAGGAGCTATTCAAATGATTTTGAAAAAATATAAAAGCAGCATGTTGTGCAACAAATAGCACTTCTATAACATATTCTTGCTTGAAAAACTGATTTACAATTTATCAAAAGGGACTATTTTTGTGGCAAAAAGAAACAAAATAACAGAAAAACAAAACAAAACAGAAGACAGCTTCAAAATTACAGTCTTTCAGGGGTAGGGGGGCAGTTTTCTTTGTAAAGTAACAATCTAAAAACACACACAGCAGAGCTTTAGAGAAAATTTAAAACATGCTGTGACGCTCTTTTTTTAGTTCACAAAGCTTCATTCAAAACGATTCTGCTTTTATTCTAATGGTTTCTAAAAGGACAGACTGTTCATTAAAAAAATGTGACAAACTCCTCATTTTACATAAAAACCTTCACTTTTCAAGCTGATTTTCTTTTTCAAATAGCTAGCAATAACCGAACAGCCTAATAACAATGATTAATAACCTTTCAAAACATTTTCCTAATGAGTTTGTTTCAGTCGACAGTTTCAATACAGCATGATGTTCATTTCATAAATTATAATCCCATTAGTTTGTGCTTCGGAGCATAGCCGCCCAGTAATTTACAAGCTGCTGCCATATCGATCACAGTTTCTATGGTGACACTCTCAAGACTTCAAACAATAGTCCTGATATCAAAAAGGCATCATCCATCTTTTACGCACAATCTATCGCACAATGATTTGATCTTATTTAATTTGGATCACTAACGTCAAATGTGTTTTTTCTTTTGTAATAATCATTCTTTTTATATAACTAGTTCTAAGCCATAAAACAATATTTTATCCCAAAAGTCATTGTTTGCATTTCGATTTCATTCATCTCTAAGGTCATGTTCACACTGCAGGATTTAATGCTCACTTCAGATTTTTTAGTAACAAAACTTGTTTCCCCAGTTATTGGCTTTATAATTTAAATGATGGCCATCAGATGCTAGTGTGAACAATCTACGACCCACGTGCAAAGAAGATGTGATGTCACACACAGCCTGTGTTTGGTAAATATGGATGATACATTACGCTTTGCTAGCATTTTTATTTATTTACCTGTATTTAACCAGGCAAATCCCATTGGGATCGCAGATCTCTTTTGAAAGGGAAGCCTGGGCCTGAAGGCAACCTATTGTACATGTTTTTGTGTGTATCGATTCGGAGGCTGCTGCAATCTGAGCTGACTAAATTATTATTTGCTTTGCTTGTTTCATTCCTCCTTTACACCTAAACTTGTTGCATTCTGCCTACTCAGGTGTAGAATTGCATTTCTGAGATGGAAGCAATGTACTAAAAGTAAAAACAAAGTTAAGTATTGATCCCATCATATTAGCATCGATACAATCTAACATTATTATACCACCATTATCACCATACAGTATGTTATTGTAAATTATCAGTCATTCAGGTCATGATAAATCTAGAAAATTTATAAAAGATAAAACTGGACCTTTGTTCTGTAGTGTCCCATGTTTAACTGCATGTATAATATCAGTATCTGGACTGACCTGCTTACCCCTACCTCAATAAAGGTAGGGGTCATTGGATGCAATCTGACATGAAATTGGTGTGCCTCAGGGTTCCGTGCCTGGCCCAAAATTATTTATTTTATATTTAAATGATTTGGTAAATGTATCAGGGTTTTTCAAGTGTGTGGTTTTATTTTTTTTTTCAGATGACACTAATTTCTTTTGTTTGGGAAAAGATATAGAACGGATGCTAAAGATGATGCAGACAGGATTTATGAAGATACAAAATTGGTTTCAACTAAATAAATTTAAATCTGGATAAAATGAATTACATGATATTTTGTAATAAAAAGAAAAGTGTTGAAGTTCCATTTAGAGTCAACGATGTTGATATCTGTAGAATCAGTGAAGCAAAGTTTTTGGGAGTCATCAGTGATGAAAAGCTGACATGGAGACCTCATGTGAATTATTTAAGAACAGAAGTAGCTAAATCTATTGCATTACTATATAAAGTAAGGGAGTTGTTTAATGATAAAGCTTTGTATATGTTGTATAATGTAATGATTGTTCCACAT